GCCATGACGTCTGAAGGGGTAAATCTAGAATATGCTGTTTGCTCCAAGATCAAGGTGGATAAATCAGCCATACGGAAACCCTGATTATAGGGGCGCCTGGGTGGCGCAGTCGGTTCAGCGGCCGACTTCAGCCGGGTCACGATCTCGCGAGATCTCGCGTGATCTCGCGTGAGTTCGAGCCCCGCGTCGGGCTCTGGGCTGATGGCTCGGAGCCTGGAGCCTGCTTCCGATTCTGTGTCTCCCTCTCTCTCTGCCCCTCCCCCGTTCATGCTCTGTCTCTCTATATCCCAAAAATAAATAAACGTTGAAAAAAAATTTTTTTAATAAAAAAAAAAAAAGAAAAAAATGGAAACCCTGATTATAGTAAATGCAATGGAAGTGCAGAGTAGGAAAGGAGGAGGGAAGGAGGGAGGGAGGGAAGGAAGGAGGGAGGGAGGGAGGACTTGGATTCTGAAGCCTGGGTACTTTCCAGAAAACCGGGCTAAAGGGAGAGCTGCCCCCAAGAGAAGCTGTAGCTGCAGCGGCGGGAGCCCCCACCGGGAAGTCACCAGGACTTTCTTCCCGGCCTGGGGGAAACGGGTCAGGGCTTTGGGCGACCGCCGGGGCGCCGGGAAGCATAGCGTGTGGCCTGCAGGCTGCGGGCTTCTCGCGATGTCTTGGGGACCCGGACCCGGGGATCCAGACGGCCGACGTCTCTGGGCGAGGGGCTCTGGGCCCCGAGAGAGGCTCCGTGCTCCTCGTCGCCCTGGAGCCTCCCTGCGTCCGGGGACTGCTGTGGGACCTCTCCTCCAAGGGGCGGAGATCCTGTCCGGGAACGTGTGCCCCGGCAGGCGTGGGGGTGGCGAGTTCCACAGCCCCGCCCCGAGGCCACACAGGATTGCAGGGCTGTTTTTCATGCGACACCAGTCTCCGCACAGGGTTGGCGTGGCAGGCCCCTCCTCCCGTGGGGCATCTCTGCTCCGTCCCAATCAGTTTCTGGGATTGAGTCCTCTTTCTCTAAATAAGTAAATTAGCTCTAATACCCTTATTTGCTATCAACCTTATAAACCTAATGCAAACCAGATGGGCCTGGCTTCCCGAGCCCCCCACGCTGCACGGCCCAGCCTCCTTGGGTCCGCCTTGGCAGACTGGCTTGCTCGGCCCCTGCACCCCTCCTCACCCCTGCATACACAGCCCCCTGTGAAGGGAGAGCGTGTTTGGACTGCTGCCCACGCACGAGGCTTCCCGGGGAGAAGCTCGGGGTCCACCAGGGATCCCTCGTTCTCCGCAGCAGCCCCCACCACACCCCTGCTTCCCCGTCGCATAATTTCTTCTTTTGCAACCAGAAAGCATCAATGGTCTTTACTCCTCATCGTCAAAAGTGGCGTTTTCATTTCAGAAACTCCAGAAAAGACAGGTATGAAAAGAACAAAAGGTAAAATGGCCTATCACCTGTGCACAGAGACGGTGAACCACAAGTTTCTCTGGAACCAGAGTTTCATCTGGAGCAGAGGTCAACACACTTTGACCGTGAAAGGACAGTCGGCGGATGTTGGGGGGGGGGTGTCACATGGCCTCTGCCGAACTCGGCTGCCAGAGCGTGAACATGGCCAGAGACAGTACGTCAAGGAACGGATGGGCTGTGTACTGATAAAACTTGACCAACAAAACAAACCAGAAAAACAGGTGCTGGGCCCCGCGGAGCCCACGAGCCGTAATTTGCCGACTCCCGACCAGGAACAGTGCTGTGCAACACAAAGGAAGTCTGGGCCACGAGTGTAATGTAACGTTTTCCACCAGTCACATTCGAAAACGTAAGAAAGGAGCAGGTGCCATTTGCACCCAGACTGTATTGTATTTAACCCAAAAGTCTCATTCTAACGTGAAACAATATTAAAAATCGCCGATGAGAAATCTTACACGTTTTTTTTGGTACCGACTCTTCAAAGTGCAGACTTTATTTGTACACCGACAGCACATCTCAGCTTGGATGAGTCTCGTCCCAGATGCTAGGGAACCACGTGTGGCTAGTCGGCCACGGTATCTTACCGCACTTCCCGCTGGTTGTTTTTACAAAGTGGCATCTTCCGCCCCCGCCACTCGGCCGTGATCGGTTACTTCACCTCTCCATGCCTAGTTCCTCATTTATCGCGTGAAGATCGCGTTATCTCCTAGTGTGGCTATAAGAAGTCGGTGAGGAAATGCTCACAAGTCCCGCCTGGGGTCTGGAAAACAGCAGACACCCAGCGGGTGCAAAGTCTTTGGTGGACCGTCAGCATGAGGCACAGCCACAGAAAAGGATGATTCTTGTCTGCTTTGCCAACATCCCCACCACAAAAAGGCAGGGACTTTTGGAAGTCGACCATCCAGCCCAGCCCCCAAAATGGGGAGGGGGCGCCTGGGTGACTCAGTCGATTAGACGTCCGACTTCGGCTCAGGTCACGATCTCACGGTGTGTGGGTTTGAGCCCCGCGTCGGGCTCTGTGCTGACAGCTCAGAGCCTGGAAACTGCTTCAGATTCTGTGTCTTCTCTCTCTGCCCTTCCCCTGCTCACACTCTGTCTCTTTCTTCACCAAAGACAAATAAACATTGAAAAAAATGTTTTAAAAAAAAAAGAAAAAAACCATAGGTATCTTTAAAAAAAAAAAAAAAAGGTCGCTCAACCAGAAAGGCCTGGAAGCCGTTAGTAATAACCAGCACGTGAAGCATTTAAAAGTGTCTCTTTTAGTTCATCAAAAATTCAGTGAGTTTGAAAATCAGTGAATGTGATTTACCACATTAATAGATTAAATAAGAAAAACCGTGATAATCTTAGTAGATGCAGAAAGGCATTTGACAAAAATACATCCTTTATTCACGACCAAAAAGAAACTGTCGGAAAACCAGGAATGCAAGGGCACTTCCTGACCCTGGTAAAAGGGTCTTCAGACCCTACAGCTAACATCAGACTTGCCGGTGAGAGCCTGAGCTCTAGTCCTCCAGGAGCTGGAACACGACAAGAATGTCCTCTGTCAATTCCCTCGTTCACATCACACTGGAGGTCCCAGCCAATGCAATCGGGTAAGAAAAAGAAATAAAGGGCATGCAGATTGAAAAAGGAGAAATAAAACTGTCCTGTATTTGCAGGTGATATGATTATCTATTTAGAAAAATCCCAGAGAATCTTCTAAGTTCCAGAATAAGTAAATAAGCTTAGCAAGATCACGAGACAAAAGGTCAAGATGTACAAAGAACTAACACACACCTCACACTTAACCCAAAAAGTAACTCCAAATGGATCATTAACACTCCACCCTAGGAGTTATAGGGATGAGACCCTGAATCTATTTTTGTTGTTGTTGTTTATTTTTGAGAGAGAGAGAGAGAGAGAGAGAGAGAGAGAGAGAGAGCATGAGCAGGGGAGGGGTAGAGAGGGAGGGAGACAGAGAATCTGAAGCAGGCTCCAGGCTCCGAGCTGTCAGCACAGAGCCCGATGTGGGGCTCAAACCCACAAGCTGTGAGATCATGACCTGAGCCGAAGTCAGACGCTTAACTGACTGAGCCATCCAGGCTCCCCAGGACACTGTTAAAAGAATGGAAATATAAGGGTGCCTGGGTGGCTCAGTGGGTTAAGTATCCAACTCTTGACTTTGGTTCAGGTCATGATCTCCCAGTTCCTCAGACTGAGCCCTATGTCCAGTTCTGCACTGGCAGTGTGGAGCCTGCTTGGGATTCTCTCACTTCCTCTCTCTGTGCCCCTCCGCCACTCTCTCTCTTTCTCTAAATAAATAAATAAATAAATAAATAAAAACTTTTTTTTTTTTAAGAATGAAAATACAAACAACAGATCTGGAAAGAATATTTCCAGAGCAGATATCTGATAAAAAAAAAAAAAAGAAAAGAACTTGTATCTGGAATATATAAAGAACTCTTACAACTCAGCAAGAAGAAAACAAACAGACGGATTAAAAATGAGCAACCGGTCTGAACAGACACTTCACCAAGAAGATATATGGATGATAAATACCCTATGAAAAAATACTCAACATCAGTGGTCATTAGGGAGATGCAAATGAAAACCACAATGAGATATCACTACATGTCTATTAGTATGGCCAAAATCCAGAAACCTGGTGAGAATTCTCATTTCTCGCCGATGCCACAAAACGGTAGAGTCGCCCCTGAAGACAGTTGGACCGTTTCCTATAAAGTTAAACCCTCACCATATTGAGTCGAAAACTCGTGTTTACACAAAATCATTTATGTGAGTGTTTATAGCAGCTTTATTTGCCCAAAACCGGAAGCAACAAAGGTGTCCGGTGACAGACGCGTAAAGCGTAGGGCGCCCATACGGCGGAATACTACTCAGCAATGGAAAGGAATGTTCCTGCTTCGTGTGGCAGGATTCACTCACACGTGTTTTGCTCAGTTAAGGAAATCAGGTCCAAAAGGCTACCTATTACATATGCCATTTATATGACAGTCCGGAAAAGGAAAACTTATGGCATGGAAAACCGATAAGTGGTCGCAGGGACTTAGGGAAAGGACGTGACCCAGCGTGAAGGGGACACATGCAGGGGACTCTGGGGATGGTAGGGCTGTTCTGTGTGGCGCTGGGTGATGGGCAGATAAAAAAAAAAATTAATGAAAAAAAAAGGGTGAAATCTGGACAAAGTCTGTAGTTTAGTTGATGATAATGTCCCACCTGGAACCTTGTTGTGCTGGCCCACGTCCCATGGTTGTGAAAGGTGACAACATTTGGGGAAACGGAGTGAAAAGCGTATGGGAACTCTTGGAGTTATCTTTGCAACGCTTGTATAAATCTAAAGTTAGTCCAGGATAAAAATGCTTCCTTGTGTTTTAAGCCGGTGAGTCTCTTGGGTCACCCCCTCTCACTGGCCGCCCTCCGCGTTCATCTTGTCCGTTCGGCGCTCTGCGCGTTTGCACGGCTCGTATCTCCCTGTCCTCATCCAGACAGGCGACAAGGCCTGGTGGTTTGGGGCACAGAAGGAGAAACAAGGCCCCATTCTTTCCATTTACAGAGGAAGGGCCGGGTGCCCAGAGACAGTGAGGGGCTTGCCCCGCGCCACCCAGGACGCCCGTGCTGGCTGGCCCTCCCTCCACCTACGTGCTCGCTAACCGCCAACGTGCAAGTGCCGGGTCAGACTCAAGGCCGCGGTCATCCGTGTCTTCACGGGACACCTCCAGGCCCTCCCTCCTGCAGCACGCGGACAGTAGGCTCGCACTTCCACCCCCTCGCGCCGGGATGGGTCCCAGGACTACTTCCGCCACTATATTGTGAGCAAAAGTGCCATGTGTCACTCGTCTCAATGGAACATCTCGTTACAGGTATGACGCCCCAGGCTCCCACCTCCCTCGGGCACGGGGGCTGGCGTCCGGGTGGTGGCTGCTCTGTCCGCCTGGGGCGCCCCGGGGCCGCAGCGGGGGGCCCTGTCCTGCCTTGGCGCATGGAGAAGGGGAGGGGGCCGTCGGCCCGCTTTGCAGTGAGTCACTGTGACCCGCTGTGACTGAGGGTCACTTGTCACAAAGAGTAGGGGGTTCGTGGGTGCGCAGTCAGAAAACCAAGGAGGGACACAGGGCACGTCACATCAGCTTGGAAAATTGGGGGTTGCTGTCTCAACGCGCGGTCTTTTCTCATCACCTGGGCGGCGGGCCCAGCCCTTCCTGGGGAGGTCGGGGCAGGGAGAGGAGTGCCAGCAGGCGGCCGTGTGACCCCGTCAGGACAGAGTGGTGCCTCGGCCGGGGAGCGATGGTGGTGAACACGGTGGGTGACTGCGTGGGGACACAATGCAACGGTTCCCGATGGCCACCGACATTGACAGAGGGCAGTGGACGCGGCGGCAGGTCCAAAACACAACCAGACGGGTCCGGCCAGGCTTTCAGAGACTCTGGAGCCCGAGACTCCACCTGTCCCGACCTCCCTGGGACCTGGTGCCCCTTCCTACAGCCGGGAGATGCGAAACAGCCCGGGCCTGCGTTCTCTCCGCGGAGCCCTGTCATCTGTTCGGTTGCTCCTAAATTCACAAAATGACTTGTAACTCTTACTCCTGCCCCATCCTGACCCTTGTCCCGCCCCAGATACCCCAGTGTGGAGACTGTGGGTCCCACACAGGTGTCCAAGGTTTGTCTCCCTGCCTCCCGGCTTCTCAGATGCCGGCGGCTCCAGGAAGGGCCCGGGACTCTCCAGCGGGTCGAGGAGAATAGTGTGCGGCTTGCCCAAACACTGACTGCAAAGCGGGTTTTTCCACAAAGGCTTTTACGGGATATGAAGATGTTGGGGCGGTGGGGGGGGGGGGGCTGCCTCATGGAGCTCCCCGGCGGTGCTCTAAGGGGCCATTACCAAGTCCTGTTTTGCAGAAATAGGAAAAAAGACCTGGGGAAGGTGAGAGATGTGGTTTGTTCAAGGCCACAGGTGGGGAGGCCAGAGCTCCAGGGCCCAGCGGGAGCCCAGCCTTGAACAAACAGCAGCTTCCCCACGGGGGACAGCAGGTGCATCTGTGGCCCCCCATCCGAGGGCAGCCTGGGCCCCTGCATTTGCTCCAAGGTCCCAGAGTTTTCCCGTGTCCTGAAAATTCTGTCCCCAGAATCATCCCGGCTTCTTGTGTCCTGGTAAGACAGGCCACCCAAGGCCGTGGCCTCACTCCAAAGGCAGCACCATTCCTGGATCTCGAGCAACCCGGGGGGGGTCCCATCCACCCCAACGTGCCTGGACCCCCAGTAGTTCCCCTCTCACAGGCTCGGGCAGGTGGTGCTGGGGGCAGAGGGATCGAGGAATCAACACTCACTTCCCTCCGGGCAAGAAAGGCCCCCATCGGACCTACTCTAGGAGCATCGCCATCACAGGGGGAGAGGGGGCAGGGTGTAGGGGTGAGGTGGTAGACCGAGGCGGGGTCCTCCAGACAGAGCCGCGTCGGGAGTGAGCAAACGGGTCTCCGCTTCCTCAACCGTGGAATGGGGCGAGCCCTTACCCTCGGAGGGTCTCTGGGAAGACACATGGGTCATAAATGCACAGCTCTTCGAGGGGCCCAGGGCCAGAGCTGGTCTGCACGTCATCAGGGCAGTAACTGCCTCTGCTTAGTCACCGCGACCGTAATCGCAGGATAACAGCACGCCCACGCGTGCGTGCCCTTGGCACCGGGCTAGGTACTTCCGGGAGCTCTCCACACTTCATCCTCGCCGCTGCCCCGAGGCAGGAATGAAAACCCGAGGCTTCGAGTGAGGAGACAGCCTGCAAGAGAGCACCGCCGGGCCTCACGCTGCCGGCCTCCCAGCGGGCCTCCCCGGCCCGGCCTCCACGTCGCCGCCGCCTCGTGACCGTCGCGCAAGTGGCTGCGTGAGGGGGAGGGATGCAGGAGGAACCCAGGCCTCCCCACCTCCAGCATCCGTCCACACCCTGCGGGAGCCGAGGAAGACATCTCGGCCAAGAGGTGGCCAGCATGTGAGAAGCGCATCAGCGGCCCCCCGACCCAGGCCCCGTCACCTGCTGCCCGTGACCTCGGCAGAGCCCGGAGGGCCCCGGGTTCGGCTGCCTCCTCTCACACGGAGGGTGAGGGCCATCCTGAGGAAAAGAGGGCTTGGCCCGCGTCGTGGGCTCATGGCCCCCAGAGATACAAGTCCATGTCCTGACCCCCCAGAGCCCGTGGATGCGACCGTATCTGAAGAAAGGGTGTTTGCAGACGCGATGAAGTTAAAGGTCCTGAGATGACGTCATCCCGAAACATTGGGATGGACCCTAAATCCAGTGACAGAGGGAGAGTGAGGACACGGACAGAGGACAGTTCACATGAGGAGGGAGGCACAGGTGGAGGACGCGGCCAGAGCCCAGGGGGTGTCGGGGGCCCCCCAGGAGCTGGAAGGGGCAGGAAGGACCCTCCCCTGGGGTTCCACAGGGCGCGCGGCCCCGTGACACCTCGGCTTCAGAGCCCTGCCCTCCTGAAGTGTGACAGACGAGGTCTCCGTGTTGTTCGCCCCCGGCTTCGTTAGGGCACCTGCAGGACGCGTGGGCGGCTCGGAAAAGGGCAGGTGGCCTTCAGTGGACAAGCGTGTGTGGAGTAGCTGCCACGGGGCCCCTGGTCTGGCACCGGGGACACAGCGGCGGACATCGTCCCCCTCATGCTTATTCATCAAGTCCCTCGCGGCCCGCCCGTGTCTAACAGAGAACAGACCTTAACCCCACGCCAGGGCACAGGGGGAGGGACACCAGAGTCCTGATCGTCTCCGTTCCCCTCCCCTCTGGATCCACCCCGGGGCCTCTGCTCCGCAGTCTCCTCCAACCCGCGATCCGGGGACGTGCCTTCGGCGGCCAACACAAAGGCCCTGGAAAGTTCGAGGCCTGTTTCCACAGGGCCGCGTGCTCAGAGGATGCCTGAAGTCTCGGGGGCGGGGGGTTCCCAGCCTGGGCCTTCGGGGTCTTCGGAGAAGCCCGGGGCTTCCAGCTTCGTTGGTAGGATTCCAGGCTGCCCCTGCGGACCGGACACCAGGCGACAGAGGCCTTCGAGAGACGGAGACCTGGAGATCCTTGTGAGGGAGGAGAAAACCAGGGAGGAGGCCATCACCCCTCCCCCTGAAGCCCTGCGGGCATTCGCCCGCCGCCAGACGAAACCCGGTCAGGCTGCCGGGGTCGGCAGCGCCGCCTCCCGGGCCTCACACAAGTGCCCGCATGTGCGACATGATCTCGACAGCTGCATTAAATCGCGGCGCCTGCAAGGTGGACCCCAGATCTGCCAGAATTAGGGGCATCCTGATTCCGAACAGAGTCTGCTAGTTCGCTCCCAGACGAAAATCGAGTCACCGTCAGGGATGGAAGCCCTGTGATCACAGGGGGGTGGCGTCCACGGAGGCTGGGCCAGCAGCGGCCGAGGCCGCCCACGGGCCACCCGCCACGAAGCCCGGTGATGACTTAATCCATCCCACATGGAGCCCTGGTGGGCGCTGACCTTTGCCCATTAACCCCGCGACCCCGCTGCCCTGGCTTGGGACTACTGTCTGTCCTCGATAACCTCCCCGCCATAACTCAGGCCTCGCCCTGGCTGCAGAGATGGGCTGATAACGCGCCGCGTTCTGGGGTCAAGTTAGCGGGGCTCCGCCGACAGCCTCGCTGCCTGGGAAAAACAAAGCCCTTGGAACGAGGCCACCGGGCTCCGGAACGCCTTCACACTGGACACCTGGAGGGAACCGCAGAGCAGCTCGGGGACCGAGACCCCCATCTGGCAGACGGAGGGGCCAAAGCCGCCCCAGCGAGGCTTCTCCTGGGCCTTGCAGCCCGGCCGAGGAGAAACAGCCTTGCTGTCTGCCCTGTTCCCGTCTTGCAGAGACCAGTTATGGGCACGGACTCAGGCGCCTCGGGAGAGCCCAGGGGTCCCCCGGGAGGTGACCTGTGAGTATGGACTTGGCTTCCTGCTGGGGAGCAGGCCTGGGTCCAAACCCCACCCACTCTGCACCTGACCAACCTTGCGCACTGCACAGATGTCCCCTGAGCCTCTCCCTTCCTGACATGACCCCACGTGTGGCAAAATCAGATCTGGAGAGAAAGCCAGTCCACCGGGCGTGACTCAAAGCCCCAAAGTATCTGTGGACACTGAGGGAGCGTCTTCTGGGGGGGTGGGGGTGCCCACCTCTGGGAGCCCCGGTGTCCTCGCCAGGACCCCAGGCAGGTCTCCAGGGCTGGTGCCGACACAGACAAGGCATCACCCTAGGACTCGGTGGGCGGCCAGGGGCTCTCGCCACCGCCGGGGCCATCAAGAGCGGAGTCTTGTCTGATTCTCAGACACAGGAAGTGCTTCAAACACACCTGGAGATGTGCAGGCGGGGACTTCGGGAACAGGCTTGGGACGGGGCAGTGGGCAGAGGCTGGCGAGGTTGGAGGAGCTCGGTGGGAAAAGCCGGGCGGGCCAGGAGCTGAGCGATTTGGGAGCAGGAGGAAGTGAGCAGTGTGCCGGGCACAGAGAACAGCTGACCTTGAGTGCTGACCGCGGTGTCTCTGGAGCCCGCAGCCACCCTGCATGAGTGCCCTCGGGGCCTGCAAACTCGCGGGTGCCGAGCTGTGGCAGGTGCAAAATACCCCACACAGCACAGGCTCCCCCTCGGACGCTCGACCTGCGGGAGGCTGACCCGGCAGGTTGTGTTGGGCACGTTCTGGTTCCAAGATAGAGGCAAAGAGGCAGCTTTTTTGGACCCCACTGCCCCAGGGTGCGTTAAATAGTTCAGAGACTCACCGCTCAGAGTGGGGTCCCCAGACCCCGCCCTGGGGGTGCTGAGAGGCCGCACTCCCAGATGGGAGGCACCGGGAGGTTGGAGGCACCCCCGTCCCACGTATCCTGCAGAGGGGATGCCAGCGCCGGCAGCCGGCCCCGGGGCTGTGCGTGGGGTGTGCTCGGAGCCCTGGCTCCCTGGACTGCGCCGTGGAGTTGACGACCACTTTCACGGGGTCAGAGTGAAGAAGGGTGTTTGTAGAGGGCGTAGCATGCAGTGCAGGAGACCCGCCGCTTGTTATCATTATTCATCGGCTTGGCTGTGGGGCATCACCTCCTGGAGGCACGTGGAGGTCACCCACAGGGGAGCTGGGAGGTCTGGCCCCCGGCTGCCCCCTCCAACTGGGAGACGCAGTCCGTCAGAGACCCTCCAGGCCGGGACGCGTCCGATGTGGCCCCTGTGAGAGCAGGTGTCCCCGGCCAGAGGCCAGCTCCCCTGGCTACAGACAGCCCAGAGAGCCCTCGGGGATGGGGCTATCCCACGGGGCCTGGGAGACGCCAGGGGCCCCCCTGTGCAGGAGCCGTGGGGCTGCCCTCCCCCAGTCCTGCTGCCCCCTTGTCCTGCCTTCAGGGGCCAGCACCAGGCACCAGGAGTTGTTCAAGACACGTGCTCGCTGAGTGAGCCCGAGGAGGGACGCTGGGCCCCTTGCCCGCCCCACCCCCACCCCCGACACCCTCTGACCTGGGACACTGGCCCTGGGGAACTGCACCTGACACACCTAGCCTTTCGTTCTCCGGGATTCTTCAACCGGGAAGCGAGCTGTGTGCTCACCGTTGCCCACTCAGCGATATCGGAGACTCACCAAGCGGGGCGGACACGGGAGTCGGACAACGATGACGGCGACCCTGTCCCACGGAGGGACCAACCCTCCCACAGCGATGAGCTTACAAAACAGGGTCGCTTTCTTGCATTGAACCGCACGGAGCGTCCTGGTCCTCGGAAGAGTGGGAAGCGTGCCCAGAGGACGTGCGACTCACCTGTCCCGCCCCCGCAGAGATGCGCACCATCGCCGTCCTGGACAGGAGCCTCCCCAGGAGCCGGAGCTGACCGGGCGGGTGCGGGGGGAGGGGCCCGGGACAGGAGCGGGGGCCCCAGTGGGGGGGACAGCTGCAGCCGGTCTGACTAATGGACGGGCCGCCGCTCCGACAGGCCTCGCAGACACCCGGCCAGATAAACGCACCGTCTGTCCGGGCCATTTTTCCTGTGCTATCTCCTGTTGAGGCCCCGCTGACACCCTGTCAGCCCGCCAAGTGACGGATGGCCCCGGGGAGCCGGCCCACCCCACCCCGTCGTCGTGCAGACCTGCGGGGCTCCCCAGAGCCCACCTGCTGCTACCCTGAAGGCGTGCTGCTCTCTGGGGTGCACAGGGGGCACCCCAGACTCCGGAGCGTCACACACGTCGGCCCACGCTGTGCACGCGCCCACGCGGACGCACGTGCTGCCTCGAGGCGGGGGGCGGGGGGGGCTCGGCAAGGCCGGCTCTCAGCAGTTTTTCCGCGATCACACGGCTGGACCCTGAGCTTCTTGCCGACCCCCTGCACACATTCATAGGGGTCCCGCTCAATCCCGAGGGGGCCGAGCCACCAAAGGCACGATGCTGGACGAGGAGGCGAGCTGGCCACCACGGCCTGGGCAGGGCTGTCTCAGACCCCGCCCCCGGGGAGAGCTGGCCAGGGCTTCCCGTGCCCCGAACCCCCAAAGTCGGTCAGAAGCAGCACTCCACCTTCAGGCCGTGAACTTCCTGGGAAGCGAGACAGAACGAGTCTCACGTGCTCCCGTTATGAAATGGACGTGCGAGAGTCACGTGGCCACGGCGAGTAAACAGCGGACCGTCCGCTCGTCCCCAGCCGTCTCCGGGGAAATGACAAACGCCGGATAGAACCGGTGGGACCCCGGAGGCCGGATGCCCACCATCGCGGACTGTTTATGTTTGAGGCCGTCCTGGAAGAAAAATGTGAGAACGCCTTTCCAGAACATGGCAGGCAAGCGAGGCCTGCCCGGGTGCCAGGGAAGCCGCACAATAGGGCAAGCGCGTAGAGGAAGGGTAGGGCCGGGCACGGCCGCCACAGAGACGGATCGCGGATTCAGCCCTTCCCTCCGCTTTCTGCCCAGATGCTGCAAAAAAGGGACCTGGGGTCTGCTCCCCCGCCTGGCCCTCGGGGCCTGGCCCTGTCCCTCGGCCCGCCAAGTCCTGTGAGCCAAATCCGTCTGCTTTGGTGGCCTGTGCAAACACTGAGTTTGGGGTGACGGACGCTCCAGACGGACGGACGCACAGGAGCTCCGTGTGAGTTATCGGTGAAGCCCGGTAAAAGCAGGCCTTTTATTTTATTCCAGCTCAAACGCTGCGGTCCGTTCAGGAGCAAGGCGGGTGTCTCCTCGCAAAAGACGGGGCCCTCTGAGCACCAGGGAATCAGGAGGCCGATCGTGTGACTTCCCAGGAAGCTTAGCTCCAAGGGAATCTGGCTCTTGGGCAATGTCACCGTTCCTGGCCTCACATCTTAATAAGAACCAACTTTCTGGAGGTATTAACCCAAGAACAAACATCGACCACGTTCACGAAAACCCCAGCGTGTGCCAAGTGCTGTCCGTCAAAACTCACTGACCCCCGAGGGAAGAGCCGGCTGCCTCCATGACCTCGTGTCCCCGAGGGGGCTCTGCCTTTTCACCAGCGGCGTGCCCGCAGGCCAGGGGCTGGCGCCCATCTGCCCGGGTTTCCTCGTCTGTAAGGTGGACGTGGTCACGGGGCCGCCATCGCTCAGGGGCCGTCCTGAAAACGACACGGGGGGGGGGGGGAATGCACACAAAACTCGGGCTCAGGAGTCCCCACCGGGCAGGAGGTGGGTCGAGCTGTGTCTCAGAGGGACCCCTAGACACGGGAGTCGCTTCTCTAGGCCACAGAGGCCAACTCTGCTCCCCTAAAGGCACGGTGGGCCAGGGTCTCCTTGCCAGGGCGTTGTCCTCATCCCCCGGCCCAGAGCAGCCCCCCAGCCACCATGCACCCCCCCGCCCCCCCGGAAGGGCTGCAGGCTCCGGGCCCACCCAGAGCCACATCCTCGGACCCGCTGGCCCGCGCTCCGTCACACGGCCACACCCGGCTGCAAGCAGGCGGGGCAAACAGCATTTATTTGGGGTGGCCCCTGCCCTTGCTTAGGATTGGGGTGTGACGACACGGAGGAAGGGCAGGCAGGTGTGGGGACGTACGAGCCGTCCCAGCCACGCCCCGCCAGGCAAGCACCGTTCTCTTCATTTCACAGATGGCACCACTGAGCCGCCTCCGAGGCCTTGGGCGGACGGGGACATTGTCTTCTCCCACCAGCGCACGGGGTCTCACCCGACAGGCAGTGCGGTGGGGGGTGGGGGCCGGGTGGGCGTCCCGTGGGGCCTCCGGGGGAGAGACCACCCTGCCAGGCCCGAACGGGGCCTCCTCAGGAATGTGCACAGGAGGCCCTTCCCACAAGGCCATTTTTCTCACCGCCTCGGGGGATTAAGATAGCAGACGGGGAGCCTCTCCCCTCCTCCACACGCCCGCCTGGCTGGTGATGCCCAGTCGGGGGGAGGGCCGGGCGGGGGCCGGCTCTGCGCTCTGCTGAGCCCACGCCAGCAGGGCTCCGGGGTGCCGCCTGGGGCCAGGCACGGCGTGGCATCATCAGTCTACCACCACCGGCAGCCACGGAGGCCGGCTGTGCGCCTCTCCCCAGCCAGGACTCGAGGGCGCAGAGGCACGGTCACCTTGCCCAGGTGACTCGGTGACTCGGGAGGGCACGGCCACAGCAGCCGGGTCCCGCGGGGGTGTAACCGCAGCTCAGCACGACCTCCGGACAGGTGCTTCGCCCCTGCGTCTGTGACGGCGAATCTGGAGCTCCCCTCGGACGGGTACAAAGAGAACGCTGTGGCCACGCGGGGCGCTGGCCGTGCGCCGCCTGCCCTCCCCGGCGGGGCTTCCCCGGCGCAGTCTCCCCATCCGTCGCCCGGGGGGGGGGGACAGTGGCTGCTCCCCCGCTCCTCTCCGTCGGGAGAGGGTGACGGCAGCTGGCATCGCCGTCCTCATTGGTACTTGTCTTTGCGTTTGAAATGAGACCAAAAGGTGAAATCACCAAACGCAAGAGAAAAGAGGCAGAGGGGAGGGTGCAGATTGGAGGGAGCTGGGACGGGCCGTAGACGCCTGGAAAGGAAGCCCAGCCGCCGAGCGGACCCGGCGCCTTTGGTGCACCTGCTCGCTGCAGAGGCGAACACAGGCACCACGGCAGCGAGAAGGGCGATCCACGCTTCCACCACGTCTTCCATTTCCAAGCCTGGCTCTCGCCCTCAGAGAAGCCGGGCTGGACACGGGAAGCCGGATCAGGGAAGCCTCGAGTTCAGCGACGTCCAGCACCGGGGGCCCCCCCCCACCCCCCGCCACGGGGACGAGGGCTCCGGAAATCGTGCCAGGACCGCCAGACAACGCACACAGGATGGACACCGGGCCCCCTGGAGGCGACCCCGGTGACCACAGCACCAGCAGTGGGGGGCAGGCGAGACCCCGGGGGGAAGCCCGCCCCACCGGGTGCTCCAGAGCAGGAGACCACCGCGCGCTCCGGGAGCAGGGCAGCGCCCCCCCGACCGGCGACCCAGGGCAGGGAGGGGGCAGAGGCTGCCGGCGGGTGGGGCCCACGCGGGCGGCTGCACCTGCCGACATTCCTTCCCCTTAACCGCACTTCCCTGCGTTTTATGTCATGTCCTCGTTAACGAGAAAAGTAACGGAATCTGATGAAAGACAGAATGGCCCCCAACCCTCCCCAGCGGAGTCGGCTCTGCGGTGTCACGGTCCCTCCACCACCGGACACCGACGCGGCTCCCTTCCAGCCGGGTCCTTGCCTCTGGCCGCACGCCCGCCCCCTCGGACACCTGCGGCCCATCGGGCGACACGTCGTCAGATGTCTGAACGAGGACGGGTGTCCATCAGCCTGAGGCCATCGCTGCCGGGCTGTGAACACGCGTCCTGACCAGGCCCCCCCGGAGACAGAAATCCCTTAGCTCCTGGCGGGCAGGACTGGAGGGACCCCGGCGGGAGACTGCCTTCATTTTGGCACACTCAAACTAACACTACAAGGTCGTCCGTGCAGAGGAGGTGTCCCTGGTACAGCGGGCGTCTGGGCTCCGTGGGGACCCGGGCCCTCCTCCCACCCCTGCTAACCTGGGGATGCTCTAGGGATGTTCCGGGGCTGCAAGCTGGGACCGCCCCCCCCCCGATGCCCAGCCGTCCACTGGCACGTGCCCTCCCTGCCTTCGACCCCACGTCGCACGCACAGTCCCAGGGCAAAGTGCCGGCCGACACAGCGGGTCCTCCCTTCTCTTTCCCTCTTTCACGTTTTTTCCCTCGCCACGTATCGAGTGTCTAACCTTCTCCCACCCAGACCCGCTCTCAAAAATAACACCTTCCCCGTCATCCACACCCCACGTGAGTCAGATGGCTCGGAGGGTGACTGCTTTGCGGGCAAAGGGGCACACCGGGGCCTTGGAAACAGCCAGAGCACCCGGGGCACTTCTGCTGCAGCCGAGCGCACGCCCACCCTGGGTCCCTGTGGTCGAACGCGTACGTGTGGGCGCGAAGCCCCGCGTGCAAGAATGCTCGCTGCAGCCGAGAACCGGTAACCCCCGATGCTCACCGCCCGCACCGTGCGATGGACGGGCCCCTGGGTTGTTCCATGACACGGGACCCTTCAGAGCAGCAAGACCGAGGCGCCCGGCCACCCCAGAGGATCCCAGGCAGCTCCACGGCAGGGTCTGGGGTGCCCCCTGTGCGTGTGCCTCCAACGCGAAACTGGGGTCCTCCCCTGAGCAGAGGAAGTTGAGAGCCACTTCCTGGAACTCTGTGTCTTGGGGACAGTGGCTAGACCTGAAACCCTGCAGGGACCAGCCGTGCTGTGTGACCTTGGGCAAGTGACTTAAACTCTCTGTGCCTTCCTTTCCGCCTCTGAAAAGTGGAGCTAGTGATACCTGTTGCTACCATACGTGAGATAACACAAAATCTTGTGGAGCTATGGTGGCTGTGGCAGGGATGTGATGCCTTGCTCTGTTTGGGACACTTGGGACATTGCCTGCGGCTGAGCCAGATGGCCCACGTGACCATTATCCTTAGGCAGTGCACGGGGTGGTACACAGATTACAGGCTTTGGAGGCCGGGGCATCTGTTGGCTCAGCTGTCTCCTGTGTGTCCTTAAGAGAATCGCTTAACCTCTCTGACCCCAGTTCCCCATCCATAGAATGGGTTGTTTTTGGGACACAGAGAAGATAATGCAGCGGTTAAAATGCACAGCATGGATCCTTGGGTGGTAACAGGAAGTGATTTTAGGTGGTCAGTGGGCAAACCTTTTGTTTTAACGGTAAATACGTTTATGTTAATGCTCGTTAGAAACAACTTCAGAATTAAGTATCGAATCCATCACTTTCCGGGAACTGAGGCTGGGTTTCCTTTTGCACCTTTAAATGTCTTCTACAGCAACTACGTAAAGGAGAATATTTGTAACTAGCACCAGGGGAACAGAGACAGGGCACTTGGGTGCCCCGCCCGCGGCCCCTCTGCGACCTGAGTACCACCCCCCCGGCCCCGCCCCACTGTGGCCGCGTGTCCCTGCTTCTCAGCCTGGGCCAGGGGACCGCGCCAGCCCTGCGGAGGGCGGCCTGGGGGCTCCAGGAGCCGCCCCGCAGCACAGACGGGCGTCCTGAGCACGTCGGCTGGCGCAGTCTGGTCGGTTCCTCATCGAGTCCTGCGTGGGGCTTGTGCCTCGCACAGTTATCAATAAGCTCTGTTAACGAACCCTTCGGCCCCTCTCCCTGCCTGTCTCCCTTCCCCTCGGCCCTGCCCGGGCCCTGCGTGGGCAAGAAGCGGCCACAAGCTTCCAGAAGTCCCAACCTCTGGACGCCGTAGGGGGGACCCGTTCCCTCCTCTCTTTCTGGTTCTGGAGGCGCCTGCACCCCGTGCTTCGAGGCCTCTCTCTCCACCTTCGGAGCTGGCGGTGACAGCCTCAGCCCTCTCCCTCTTCCTTCCTTCAGGGATCCTTGCAGTGACGCTGTGCCTGCTCAGATCACCCAAGACACTCTCCCTGTTTTAAACTCTGGAACCTAATCCCACCTGCAAAGTCCCCTTTGCCGTGTAAGGTCACATACTTGCAGGTTCCAGGGATTCAAGCGGAGGCATCCTCGGGGGCCAGTATTCCGCTGACCACAGATTTCCTGGGCCACCCTCCCCACCCCCTTGAGGCTACCTATACCGCATCCTTGCCTCAGGCTCTGCTTCTGGGGACCCAAACCCACCCCCGAGGACACACACCGCCCCTCAGCTCTCGCTGCACCCTCAACCTGTGCTACGAGGAGCCCATGTGGGGCGTCCGTATGGAATCTGACCTCATGCCGCCGTGATCCCCACTCGGATCCCAACACACCCCCGTCAGCCCCTGCTCCTGGCGGCTCTGGAGTTTCCCCTCCGGAGTCTCAAGTTTTGTCTCAAGGTCGGTCCTGACGGCCTGTTCACCTAAAGGAAAAACCCCGAATGAGCTTTCCCCAAACCTCCCAGAGCCCCTTTGCCTCCCGTAGCTGGGATCCCCAGGCCACCGGCGCATGTGAGACGGAGGGACAGGACACCCTGCTCAGGGGAGGTGACGGCGGGTCTCTCTTGTGAGAGGGAAGATTTCTCCCTGCGTTCCTGGACTCGGGAGTGGAATCTGGCTCTTCCCCTCCCTCGGTAGGGGGATCCTGGGCCAGCTGCCTTATTTGCCTAAGCCTCCACTTTCCCATCTGAGAAATGGGATAACATTTACCCTCCTGAAAGGGTGATATCCAAAGCGCCAAACAACTCACGCAGAACAGGCATCGGGGGCTCGGGGCAGGGCCAGTCGTCAACCACAAGACAGCGGAGCGGCTCTAAGAGCTGAGCCCCGGGCTCGCCCACCCCCAGGGCCGGAATCAAGGGTCTGACGAGAGAATGCCGTGTTTAAGCAGCGGCAGCCGTGACGAACGGCTATCCCTCCACCAGACGTCACTGCTGCTACGTTGTGGAGCGAAGGACGAGTTCCTTGGCTGGATGCAGACGGGGCCTTTTGAAAAGCACATTCAAATAATTGCACAGAGAGCAAGCGCCAGTGACTCGGTTCCTGGGACGACGCCACAGAGGCCCAGGCCGTGCTCGAGGACGAGGCAGAATCGGGGTTGGCCACAGCCCCGCCAGGTCTGGGCTTTATCTCGAAAATCAGAACGCGTGTCACTCGAGGCGGGCACCAAGTTGCTCCACCAGAGCATCAGATCTCGGCGTCGCTTGCCCGAGAGGCCCGGGAACACTGGCACAGGGCCGTGCCACTCTGCTCC